TGTCTACGCAGCATTGCACGTGTCTGGTGGGGTAGCCGGACTAGCAATGCTGAGGTTAGGGGGAGAGTTTTGGGTAAATACGGTCCCCCACTGGAGCAAGTGGTCGACCTCCATAGATTACGTTGGTTGGGGCATGTGTTACGCATGTCACCAGGTAGGTTACCACGGCGAGCGATGTTCACCGAAGCAGATACCGAGTGGAAAAAAGCCAAGGGTGGTCAAGTTAAGACCTGGCACGAGGGTATGAAAACCCTAACCAGGAAACTGAGTTACATAGGTCCTGTTAGGCTCCCTAGCTGGGGACCTCGGGATGATCGTAACCGATGGTTAGAGACACTGAGCGATATGGCTGGGNGTCGTAAACAGTGGCGTTCGTGCATCTCCTCAATTTCTTTCCAACCTTAGTCCACTGAACTTCTCCATTTTCTTTTCGAATCCACTTTCAACTTTCCTTTCTTCTCCTATTCTTCATCCTAATGGGCAGCCAAAAGAAAGCAACCAAAACCGGCGCACGAAAGTGCATGGTTATTGGTTGTTCAAACTGAACCTGGAACTCTGTGTTGAACATAGAGGCCCACTTTCTCTGCCTCCTAATAAGGCTCAATCCCTCTCCATCTTGTGCTGTATCACTTAAGTTGTGTGCAGTGTGGGCTTGGCAGTGATCAGTGAAGGTCGCTTCACTGTATTACGCTGTGCGATGATCATGATCAATTTCTCTGCAGCCTTAGTCTACTGAAATTCTCTTCGACTCTACTTGAAACTTTTCTGGCCTTCTCCTACTGTTTCACCCAAATGAATAGCCAAAACAGCAACCCAAAAGGCGCACCAAAGTGCGTGGGAAATGGTTGTATAAATTTGAACTTAAAAACTACGTAACGAAATGAGACCACTGAAAAGTCAGTTTGTATACCCTTGGTGATTGTCTTGTAATCAGTGTTTGTGCTGTGCAAATCCGTCCTCCGCGTATTCATAATAGATCGTCTGGAAATCAGACCTTTCAAATAGAATGGTGCTTGCAACATTAGATGTTTGAAAACCGAACGCATTTAATCACTTGTGACCAGTGATTTAGCCAATGGATTCTCAAAACTGATTAACTGCATGAAAATTGCATTTCCTGAAAGAAAGATTTAGAAGATTCTGCAACGATTTTGCCTAGGCGGATTATGAATGTTATATACAACATACAAAATCATAGTGCCCTGAAGTGTGCACCCTCGGATGCTAACTGAATTTCGACGTTGTCATCTTATTTGACACTCCTTCGAGATTTATGTATTTTATAAACAAGCCAAGTGTATAAGAGTAAAATGACATCTTGGATCAAAGAACGAAGGCAACAATAACTTACTTGATAGGCAGGATGACGGCATAGATGCTTCGTTGCGAATATTACCTGGTAGCGGCAGGACTCAACTTCAGCAACCTCAACAATTTGGGCTTCGATGTCTTCAAAACATATGTACAGCACGGTAGTAACACGATGCTGCTGAGTCAAATCACATATATCGCCCATTGTGAAATTAACTGGATAGTAAGGATAGGAATACTCTCCTAGAGAAATTTTAGGAGGCTTAATCAGGATGAAAACGCTTAAACAAAAAACAAACCTTTTTGTGTCGGGTGGAGTCATCGTCGATCTCTATGTCCGAATTGTCTAGGTATCCGAGAAAATATTCTTGGCGCGAGCTGATTGTCTAAAAGCAACGATAACTAACAAAATGTAATCATACCTTGTCAGGCTTAAACTCTTCATGATATTGTCTGATATGCGCCTTGTGGCAAAGTTCATAAGTCCAATAAAACTCAGTCCTAACAGCGCAAGGCTCGCGTGAAAAAACCTCATTCAATAGTTCTAGTTCATTTATTGAAGCGCTTTCATCGATATCCCTCTTCTTTTCATTTTTTACATTGAGAGGGATATCACATTCGTATTTCTCACCTAATTTGGTACTGACGAGAAGCGGTGGTCCCTGAACAAATAAGTTCACACCAGAACAATTGAATCTTACGCTTGGGACATCAATCCTCGAAGTCCAGTCAATTTTATAAAGGGAATCATCGTCTATCTTCGACCCACCCAGAGAATTCGCATGGTGAAGAAGACCAAAGTTGAAACAAACGAGCCACAAAATCACATTCATACTCCGCGCCATACGACAGGTCACGTTTGTTGATGTGTACGAAGTCTTGAAGTCAGGTCAGGTCAGGTCGGTTCACAGGACGTAGCGGCGGCGTGCCAATTTGTCCAGATACTTGCACTGATGGGTTCCATGGATCCTCTGGCGCTACGACAACACCGGATGTGGTTTGAACACTAGACGTGGTTTGGCTTTTTCGTTCATTTTTAGTAATTCCTAGGTGTTAAGTCTATTTTTTAGGTTACTGTAGTATCATTATAACGTATATTGTCTTTTTTGCTATTAGTGTCCTTGCACACTTCTCTTTAGTTTAAATCG